CAGGAAAGAAGAGAAAGTCCGATTGTGAAGCCTGTGAATTCAGACAGTCCTGCAGGGACAGTCCAGAGTCCCACGCTTCCTCCAAAGCAGGAGGATGGAAGTGTGCAGCTCATCGCAGATGTGGTCTGGACATCAGCTACTGCTGCTGGATTAACTGAACAGCACTGTACTAGCTCTTTTTCTTCTCACTGTTGCTAAAAATGACTTTCAAACACAGTCTGAGATAGAAAAGTAAATCACTGCCCTACAACTGGGGAAGAATAAAATGGAGAGAAAGCCACAGCCTGATTTTCAGAGATGCTGCCGCAATTCAGCCATCATGAAGGTCAGTGGGAAATACACGGCTTATACCCAAGGAAATGCCAACTGCAGCAAAGATCCAAGTTTGCAATTGCCCAACAGTTATAGAAAATAGCTCCTGTATGACCCTTCCACAGTCACAAGTTAATTACAAAGCAGGAGAGCTAAACTCAAGCCTTGCCAACAGGTTCTGGACCAGAAACCCAAGACTGAAACACACTTCTCCCTCCACGATGCCTCCTGCACAGCAGAGGAGCTCGCTGCTGGCACCAGAGATACTCAATTCCCACACTGACTCCAGTGGAGCAGAAACACCAAGCCACATAGCTTATGTTATGCAAAAAACTCAAGCCTCTGAGTATTATTTAAAATGCTTTAGTCAGAGGTTGTGCTTAACACCACCGTTATCTCCACAACCATTCTGCTACAACACCACTTCCCATCTTTGTTTCCTAAAAGCCTTTCCAACTGCATCAATCCCTTTTGCTCTGTTGCTATCCCAGATCCTGCTATATCACTGCTATCACATTTAGAATATACTTATCTCATGCCACCTGGGGATATTGTACTAAATATATATATATATATATAATCCCTTTAGAAATCACCCTCCTTCTGCACAAACAAAATATTGTTTCAGAAGTCAATGGAAATGCTGTCCTAGTGATGTAATCGTCATGCAATCAGTCAGTATGATATAACAGGAGGCCACATAAAGCACCTTCCTTCCAGACTGCAGGAGAAGTTCAAGCAAGTGTTAGGGGCTCTCGGCACCATTCCTGCTCATGCTTTAGGAGGAAAACAACTAGGCAAAGCCTTCTTACCCCTTGCCTCCTTACATAGTCCCTGGGGCAGTTGCACCCTGCACACCAAAGCAAGGGAGAGCATGTCAGACCAGCCAGCCCCTCTGCTCCCAGCAGACGAGAGCAACAGGAGAAGCTGATAGGCTTTGCTTTTCTGAAGACAGGTGATTGACTGATAAACTGCATTAACAGCCCCACACTGCCGCTCCAGAAAGAGTGATGGCATTCAGACAGCCTGCCAGGGAAAAGGCTCTGTTTCCCAATTCCTCCCATGCATGGCAGACAAGCGTAGGTCAAAAATAAGCGTAGTTTATACAGTGCCAAACCACCACTGGGAAGCTTGTGATTGCCCCCAGAGTTGTTTGGGAGGTTTGCTCAGTCTCAGTGCAAAGCCTGCGGCTGGCACCATGGCAGGCTGCCGAGCCAGGGTCTGCGGTGGGCTCCGGCAGGAGCAGCCTGTCCGCTGCCCAAGGGAGGAAAGTGAATGTATTAATCACCCACATGTGCACAACTTGAGCCTGCACGGCATTTCTGGGAATATTGTAATTTCAGCACATCCAGGAAAACGCCAGTGCTTTTTGTTTTAATTACAGCTTATTTACAAACAGATATTTTGTTCTTACAAAACAGGTGACAGAAGCTTCAATCAAATTATTACGAAAAAAATTTAAGTTGTACTTCCAATTAATTCCAACGAGACAAGAGTCAGACCAACAGAGTCGCTGTGTCTTCAAAGGGAGGCAAATGAGCACTGCTTAGGCTGACTCTGACCGAAACACAATCCGGACCAAACCAAAACAGCACAATGGAAATAAATGACCATTTTTAGAGGTTATGCGGCCAGTGCTCCAAAGCTCAACAGGTGTGCCCTGTGCTGCAAGTACAGCTCCAGGCGCAGGCTGAGAGGTGTTTGCAAACCCAGCTGGGAAGGGAGCTCACTGCTGATTTCAGGACAGGCTGGCAGAGCAGAGCTGTTTACAGAAGACGGCTTGTCAAACAGAGACAGATGCGGCAAATAAAATTTTATGAAAATGTGAAGTGGTGGGGCGGGGGAGGGAGCAAGCGGCTGGAAGAAAGTCCTGCAGAAGCCAGTCCCAGCCCTGCCGTGGCCACAGCACACATCTACATGTAAAGCAGGGAGCCGTTCCTCCCCTCCAGCTGCCCCGGGTCCTCTCCCACCCAGCACCCATCCAGGCTGCTGCAACGCTGTACACGCAATTCTCCTCTCTCCAGATGTCTCTGGCTTTAGTGCTGTAATGTTGGCACGTGCCTCTGGCTCCCTAATCGGTGTCAGACTTCCCACTCCGATGCAGAGCGGCTCAGCGCAGTCCAAGGGGTTACAGCACGGGAGAGTTTCCAAGCCACGAAGGGCAGTGCCCAGGGCTTCACTTGCATCTCCAGCCTGCAGCAATCGGGCACCCAACTGCCATTGTGGCTTTGAAATCTGCCCTGTGCAAACAGCAAGAGCTTTTGCAGTAGGAAGTAAGTTGCTACTAAAGTTTAGGTGGGAAAGGGAAAAATCTCCTGTTTCAGGGCTGATACCGATGCTTCATCATGAGAGATCAGGAGGAAGTTTTCATGGGGGAAAAGGGGCAGGTTACCGAATCACTGCTCATTCCGTATCATTTTCTTCTCTCCCCTGCAGCTCTGCTGCAGAAAACACACTAGCCAAGTGGCAAGCACCTTCAACTTTTGCCAGGAACTCCCCATAGAAGCTAAGCAAACAAAAACATATGTAGGTTGATAGGTTTTACTTATACCCTACAACAGACTGGCTGCAAGCAATGGCTGAGACCCTGTGGGAAGAAGTAGTAGTCAACACCAATTTTGGTGCTTCACTGCAAGATGGAAGTGCAGAGCAGCTACTGCTGTTCTCCTAAGGGCTGCTGGTGGCCAGAAAGCTCCAGATATGCCTCTGCTATAGCCCAGATGACATGACCACAGGTAACACCGAAATAAGGGTCTCCACAGCAAAGCCTGCAGTTTCCCTGGGTGCTTACTGCTGCCTTCCCTACAGCACCTAACGGGAGAAGGAGCAGCAGTGACCTGCTCCCACCTCCGCTCCCCGCAGGGCAGGCTCCCACCCCACCATGCTGGCACCATAGGACCGTAACAACTCATACTGTACCCCAGGAAAATACCAAAAGGCTGTAAAACTGCTGGCCTGGCAGCTTTCTGAGCCGTGCCTTGTATAAAGGGCTTTTCCCTTCTGCATAGCTAATCCTCACTATCCAGGTATTAAAACCAGAGTAACTCCCGTGCTAATACTTGCTTTCAACAGAAATGACATCTTTCTCTAGAAACTTAAATTACAGGTTTTCTGCCTCTGAGTATTAGAAAAGACCCAGAATTAAATCCTTCACTTTCAGAGTAAAACCAGGACTACTGCAGGAAACAGGTTGCTCAATGCAATGGGGCAATCTGCAGGGAGTAGCCACTGGGTTTGTGGTGTCAGCCAGAAAGGCTCTCATAAGCAGACATCATCCACAAAGCAGGGCAGCCATGATTAAATACTGTTTTCTGCATCACCGGGACCCACAAAGCAAGAGAATAGGATCACACACACGCTCACGCAAAACCACCCTAGTTCCTTAGCTGAGCACAGGTCAAGGAAGGATGAAAGACACAGCATTTGAGTTGGTTTAAGTTAAAAAAAACACTGCAAAACTGACTCTGCTCTCAACACATCCCTGAAGACATTATGGTTTTGATTTTAAAGAAGTCCTCCAACAGAAGATGGAGGCATAAAATCTGGTTTGTAAATATAATTTACGAGGACCAATGCAGTCCTTGCTGTTGCTTTTTTGCTATGAAGATGCCTTACTCAAGGACATTTATTATCCTCTCCCTACTCTGCCATTAAGGTCTGAGATGAGGAAAACCAAACGCAAGATAATTAAGCTCTTTACAGGAGAAAAAACAGATCAAACATAATTTTCTATGTCTTAAAAAGAATTGGAAATGTCTAGACAGAAGACAGACAGAATTGGTCTCAAATGTATTAGTTTCAGTAAGGAGCTGAAGCCCTGAATTACGGGGGAGAGACTGAGGTCTGCTCCTCCTCCGAAAACATTCCACAGCATTACCTTACCCTCCTTGTGACTCTGACATCCTTTAACCTGCCTGTGATATTTATATCCGATAGCAGGGGACCATAATCTGGGTCACCAACAGCCTGGACAGCCACTGACAAACCTCAGCAAGAGCTGCTGGAAATGCAAGCAGCGCTACAGAGTCCCAGCTCTACGCCTCTGGGGAACTGGCTCTTACTGGGGGAGAAAAAGACAGGAATGGGAAAAGTTTTCATCTGTCTGGGAACTCATAGCACAAGCAGAGCCACCCTGAGGGTGTTTGGGACCACTGTCTCCTTCCACCACAGGCACGCAGGGGTCACAGGGGCTCCGTCTACTTCAGGAGAACCCGTACAACCTCAGTAAGTGAGTTTGCATAAGACATCTACCCCAGGGGCATCTGAGCTTCAAGTACTAATAAGGTTATTGCAGGCTGCCAGAATGTACTTCTGTCATTTAGATTGGTGATGTGACAGAGGAAAGGCAAGCAAGTCACAGCAAAACAGCCCACTTAGGCACCATCAAAGACCTGGTCATCCAGACACAGAGCTGGAGGAATAAAATTTTCCCAACTCAGCAATCCTTTGGGATTTCACAAGAAAACAAGCACAAACAAGAGAAGGAGGCCTACTTGGACAGCCGGAACAAAACTGGCAGTGCAGAAGTCCTGCCATGAACGAAACTCCACTTCCTTGTTGGAAGTTCTCTCAAAAACAGTCTGGTCAAACCCAAAGTTTCCAGTTCATAATAGCAATATTTCCCATTGGCAAGCCCTTCCCTAAGAAAACCCCTTCCATTCCCACCCAGCCTGGGAGAAGGACCTTACCTGACATGCATTGTACAGAAGCTGATGCTCAAATTTCTTGATCCCCAAAATGTTTTGGAACATCTCGTAGAGCTGCTCCTTGCTGAGGATGAGCTCTGAGGCAGCGCTCGCTGTCATCCTAGCCTGCTGCTTGCGGGGATCCTCTTCCCCACGGTAAATAGCATCAAACTTAGCCATCCAAGAGCTCAGGACCGTTTCCTTGCTGAGGCCATCAATTTCTGGCAGGCTGCGCACTCTCTTCTCAATGTGCTTCTTGAAGACCTCCCGGGAGTCATTTGCTGAGCACCCTCCGCTCTGCACCATTCTAGCAACGCGGTCGCTTTTCAGGAATACCTGCAAAAAAAGGGTGACTTCAGATAGTGTCAGTTAAAAAAATCCCCAAATCCCCCTTAAGTACCACAAAACATGGTTTCACTGCTGGGAAGCCCACTAACTGGCTGCCAGTACACTTTCCAGCTCCTCACTCAACAACCACATGTTGCCAGATGGACAGAGGTTTCTGCTGTACTTTGGGAAGCATAATGAAATCAGGTGAAGCTTCTGCTTTGCATCCGCTAAAATGGAACATTTTGATGTAATTAGGACTTCATGCGATGTTGTGGTTGCACCTCACCAGATACGTAAATGCACTTTGGGAAAACAGGATTATATTTTGCTCTATCAAATGTTTGAATAAGGAAGTTACTGCACAACAACATTCACCTACCCAAGTTCTGCCCTGTTAGAGGGAGCCCAGTCATCTTCCTCAAGTCAACAGCATTGCTTTGCATTTAGCCTGGTAGCCAGGCCCCTGGGAAACCTCTGACCTGTGCAAGGAGCAGGCTTACATTAAGCTACTACACTGGAGGAGATCTCTGCAGACTGCCCTGCTGTCACAAGATGACAGGAATGGCATTGTATTAATTAATTTAATGTTACTTCAGTTAAATAACATGTCCCACTTCTCCCATACCCTGGTCTTTCCACCCTGGGCAACCAGCACCGCAAGAGCACCATTAAAACACCCTGGGAAAGGACAAGGACGAATGGCCTGATCTTTGCAAACTGATGGGTAAACACCAAGGCAACTCAGATCGCTAAAAGGTGACACGGCCACAGGTGGATGAGGCCAAATCCCTTCCCGTTCCAGCTCTGCTGAAGTAGCACAGGATGGCTCAGCACAACTTGAGGGTGCCTGGGAAGGCTTTGCAGAGAGAGCAGCCTGCAAGGTGCAGGACACTGACAGCAGAAGGGAGGGAGAAGGCGTTTGATGAAGATGCTCTTCCCACTGCAAGAGCAGCAGAAGGGTCAAAATGTAACAGACTCCTGCAGACTAGGAGATGCCATGGGAACGATGCAGAGCTGAAGGGCAAGAGAGGGACAGGGGGATATTGTGTTGGCTCTCCTCTCCCAAGCCCTGAACACAGGAGAGCAATCAATGCCCAGCAAGAACTGCTGTTTTATTAACGATGCTGAGAAGGGATGAATGCAGCAGGCTGGGAAGAAGCTGTGCCAGCACAGGGGTATATCTGTCAGCTCTCAATAATTAAAGAGCTTGAGGATGACCTAAGGACATGGTAGATTTTTTTAAATACCTATCAGCAACATCGCACTCCATGTTCACAGATGCTTGATGGCATAGGCATCTGTCAGCAGTGGTAGTGGGTTTTGCTCCAGGACCAGCCCAAAAACGCTGCTGAGGAAGAGCTGGGCTGTTTCCTTCCAACATCACTGGGCTGGGGAGCGCTCCCTGCAGACAAGACAGGCAGGATGCCACCAGTAGCCTCTTCAGTCCACACTGAAACGATACCAGCACCTCATCTCCTTGCAGTGCTTAAATATGAGTGATAACACCCAGGTGTGTGCAGGTGCTTTTAAGTAATAGGTGAGAGCTATCAAAATCCAAGCTCCCGAGGCAGCTGAGAAAGTCCCCAGCACACTGACTGCTGGAAACAGTGGGAGGTCAGGGTGTACAGCCCTCGGCTCCCACATCCCCTCTCTAATCATCCTCTCCGGCTGCCTTTGGCCTGACCCTGTGTGACAGCGCTAGTGACATCCCATACCTGCCAGCACCAGTGGCTGTGGTTATCCGTGGTCCTCCCCCCATCAGAGGGGTGACGGCACTGCGAGCAGACAGACCTGACTCCCCGTCTCCCCTGAGCCCCAATTTATCCTCCCTGGGTGCGGAGCAGCAGCCAGCAGAAGACAGGAGAGCTGCGGCTGGCAGAGAGGAGGCAGGCGCGGGGGGAGCGCCAGTCAGACACAAAGGAGCAGAAAAAGACCGTGAAATAGGAAGATAAAAAAAGATGAGAGGTGTTTTGTCCTGCAGAGCGAGCTGCTTTCTTTAGAAAATACCAGGTGAATCGCCCAGCTGTAAGGCTGCCTAGTAGGATTGCCAGGAGTCTAGAATTGCCGGAGCAAAAGCCTAGCGTGGGTGCATACAGAGGAGCATGCAGAAGGGAACTGGCCTCTGTGAGCTGGGTCAGGCATCTCCTGCCACGTCCATGCACGAGCCCCCCAGGTCACCTGTGGTCCTGGCTCTATCTGCCCACGGCAGAGTGGAAATGGGTCTAACAAAGCATTTCCATAACACCCACTGAAGGGACTGCTGAGTAAAGTGCTGGTTGACAGACGAAGCTTTACTCATTGGAAGTAAAAAGACATGAGACAGGGTCTCCTGGAGTGTCTGTTGGTGCGTGCTGGGCCCATTTTGCACACATGGATCTGCAGCGTTCCTGCAGGCACAGCGGTGCTTCGCAGTGGAGCCTGCTCAGCTCACTCCATCTTTCAATTTGATAGCGGCCCGTCAACTAGTCTAAGACTGGCAATCACACGCTTACCCCGTGACAGCAGACTTAACAGCAGAATGTGGCCATGCAAACATGTTCATGGCAAGAACAAACGCATCCCTGACCTACCATGTCACCTCTACCTCTTTCTTTCTCCAGCAAAATAGAAATCACTCCCCAGGTAATAACCTATTCTGCACTGTCAGTAAGTGGACCCCTTAGAAACACCAGCCATGTCCTGCACAGAGATGACCAGTTTCAGCTGAGCAAAAAACCAAGTTTTAGTATTTTCCAAGCCACCATGCAGCTTTATAAGTCAATACCTAAACGCCTATCTCTAGGTAGCATCTATCCAAGGCACAGTCAACTGCATAAAACTCTGAGATTTGCAGGAGCTGAGATAAGCAGGATCTGCTGCGATTGCACCATGGCTCGACCAAGGGTGGGCACCCCTCTGCAGAGAAGGGAGGAAGGAGAACACCATCAGCAGGGAACGCTGCTCAGGCACTGACAGGGGGCAGGGGCTTTCTGCGGCGAGGCTTTGCCTTGTGCCACTGCAGATGGTGCCGAGGAAGAGCCATGCTACAACTGCACAGAAGCTGAAAGTACACAGTGGTAAATTAAAGGAGACTGACAGTCAAAAAGAAGAAAAAGAAAGTTGCGCTAAAGGACAGAGAGAGATGCGTTATACTTTCTGTGGCCTGTTTTAAGTAGGACAGAGCAGGTGGAGTGTCCAGTTGAACTGAAGACATAGGGCTTGCAGACACCTTGAGCTGATCAACTGCTCATGTACACTTGGTTACTTGGGGTAATTACACAGCACTGGACTGCTGGAGCTCGTCAGGACACACTTTCAGCCAGACCCACCGTGAAACGGGGATGTATTTTGCCTGTTTTTAAGCAGTTTCCTTTTCCTGCCCAATAGTCTTATCTGAACAGATTACGTTGCTCTTAGATCCTAAAATGCAGCTCACGCCATCTTGAAAACTTTCTCTGAGAGCATCTGTTCAGTGAAGCTGTGGATAAACTGATGATCCCTTGGCAATTTCTTTTCTGATAAGAGATGTAAATTACTCTCAGCTTCCTTCCTGTACAGAGGATGATGGAGCAGTAACTACTAGGCCGGTTTAATAGAGTTAATCCAGGATAATTTGTGCTTTCCTTACACAGAAGCAGCTGCTGCCATTTTTTATAGAGTTAAAATTCTCTTCAGTTTTAGTATCTGATTTTGGTCCCCTCTTAGATTCCACTTCCAGAGAAATATTTTATGTAGGCAATTCAAAATCTTCACCTTTTATGACAGAATAGCTCTAGGGAGAAAGAGAAATGGTTTGCAGAAAGGCTAACAAAAAAATAAGCGACACTCCTCATACAAATCACAAGCACTGTTTCCTTCAAAAACAGAAGCACTTTCCTTCTGAGAAAAGATAAGAAAGGCAGCATTAAGGGCTGCATACAAAGAGGTGCAAAAAGACAGACATGCATAATTATTCTTTTGCACAATTATGAATGATGCTTCATGTTCTTTGGTATCATCTAGTTTTGTAGATGTACATCCTCCTCCCTCTCCCTTTGCTTTACAGCACTTGTCATACCAAAGAGAAAAGACAAGACTCTTGCTGAAAATCCCAAAGTCATTAGACACAATGCAAAAGCTTCAGTGAGAACTGAACGTGCTGCCCAGTTTTCTCTTGGTATTTTTCAGAGGGAGCACGTGACATGTATTTTGCATTGTGCCATCTTCCCTGTTTTAGAGTACACTGTTTAAAATATCAGGAAGATATTTAAGGAAGGGCTTAAAGGAAGGGCGATCTTCCCCATAATCAAGCTATAGGATACACCATGGTGTAGGGGTTGCCACGGTTGCCATATGGCTGCACGTTCAAACCCTGAACCTCACAAGCCTTGTGATATACCAGACATCAGACAGAAGAAGCCTTGCACTTGCGTTTGATTTGTGCTGTTTGATAAAGGACAATACATTAGTTCAGAATTCAACCCAGTTTGTGAATAGTGGCAAGAACAGGGATTCACATTAATATTGTATCGTCTCTCCTTACCTCGTAGTAGCTTTGGACAGCATTTATAAATGCTTCATCTGCCACAATCTGGGTTTCTCCGTTGAGAAAGGCCTGGAAACGATCTTTGATTGTCTGGAGCTGCTGCTTACTTATCTGCAAAACATGGAAAAGGAGAAAATAAGTCAAGAAAGGTTTATGTATGAGGGAAAAAACCACTAGTTCTTCTGCAATATATTATCAGGGTGCTAATGATGTGCACTTCTGCTCTCCTTTGGGGACTGCAGCAATAGATGAGGAATCAGCCATACGTGGGTACACACACACACACATTCTTCAGCCTGGCAAGTTCATTTAAGCATGGTGAGCACCTAAAACCACCCTCAACATCACTTCTAAACAACTCTGCCACCACAAAACGCACACAAGACTTTTACCGCTTCAGGTATACCCAAGTCAAAAGCAAGCTGCTGTGTGCATGCTTGGAAGAGACTGTTTCAGCGCAATCTCTTCCCCATTTAGCCTCTCTCTGATAAGTTTTTATCACTGAACGGGAAGCCTTGCAAGCTGGCTGTTGAAGATGGCACTCCTCAGCACTCCAGGGCCTTGGTCTTTCCTCGTTTGTTTTTTTTTTCCTTGCTTATTTCTTTTGGCTTGTCACATATAAAACAGCAGTCGGGACCAGTGGTGAAAGAATTTAATGCCAAAGAGATCATATGAGCGCAAACCTCTTCTACTTATCCTAGCAAGGACCTTCTCTGCTGTCTCTTTGCTGCTCAAAACAGCTTCTGTCCAGCATACAGCTGGTACAACTTACAAGATAGTTCTTATTTTGGCACAGTGACATCAATAGAAAGTTTACAAGGGTTTGTTCCAGCCTTGTAAGATAACATGACATTATTTTGCCAATTTATCTGTCAGTTTAAAAACAGATATAGCTAAAAACACCCACATCTTCAGTTTGCAGTGCAGTCAAAGTCACAGCAGGCACTTAAGTCATGTACCAGCAATGCCAGTACAACAGCTCAAGATGCTGATAATGCTCATGCTGAAGCACTGCAGGCATTTAACTGTAGTTATGCCTCGTTTACCACGTGGCTACTTCAGGTTTGAGGATAAGAATTAATTTAGGCAAAAGAGAAGGAAGCAAACAAGATGTATATATGACAACTTCAAACTTAAAGGGAAGAGAGAGCAGTAAGAATTAGGACAACTGTTTACTAATGACCAAAAGGTCTAGAGAAGAGGGGTTTTTTTCCCCACTTGTATGCCAGCAGAAGAAATCAGCCCATTAGAATGGAAAAGAAAAATAAAAGCAATCACTCTAAATGTCTAAATGGCTTTGAATAAAGTATCAAAAACTACAGAGATCCAAACAACTAGAGCATAATGAACCCTGGTAAACACAACTAGTGATAAAAAGCACGAGAGGGACCACTTGGAAAATGCAACGATAAATATCACTAGATCTAGATGATGTGCCACGCGGGGTGTTTAGGGACTGCAGTAACGAACATCATGAATACTGGTAATTAATTCTGCAACACCACGCTGAGTATGGTTAGTGAGCAATGGCAATTTGATGTGATAATCTGGGATTAGTTTATCCTGGTGCTTATGGAGAGGTGTTCATCAAAGTGACATAAAGCAAGACTCAATATGCTCTGCTTCAGAAAACATGGAACAGCCTTTGCCATCCCTGGGGGTGCTGGAAAGACGGGTAATTGCCACCCCCAAAACAGCAGCCCACACTTCACAGGGCCTCACACATGCAACAAGGCTCAGCGTCACAGGGCTGGAGCAAGGATTGTCCCTCTAACCTGACCCACCTCAGCCTTGGTCATCATCTGCAATGAGCCCTGTGGAAAAGCACTGCCAAAAGCTCCCGGCTTTAAGGCTGGCAGGATCTAATTTTTGGCTCTAAGAGTCCATTTGCCTTGTTAGGTACCTAAAACCCTTCGTGGCGTTTGCCAATAGCACCCTAGACATCATGAGTCCTTGGGCAATATGCACAGCATCAGACATAAAGGAGGCTCCAAACCTATCTGAGCTGATGGAAGCCCTGATGGAATTGAAAAGAAAACTGGGTCAGCGATAAGAGGAGCCAGAGACAATGTAGTGATCGAGTGGAAGACACCTGTGGGAAGGTGCTAGGTCTGTTTTTATTAAGCATTTAATTATCTGGGAGAAGAGAAAAGCAGGATGTTAATTAAATGTATTGACGGTTTTCTATTAGCAACCATTGTGAATGTCAGGCAGAAACGATGGGGCGATAGAGGCCATATGAAATCAAGGAAAGAAACAGGAAAACTACAGGTAACACTGAAATCAGGGTGTTGAGGCACAAAGACAGACACACTAAGAGCACGGATACTCTGAGCCAAGAGGCTTTTCTCTGGGGATTTTAACAATGTGCGTGGCATTTTTTTGTTTGGTTTTTTTCCAGGTTATTTCCTAGGACAACCTCCAGAAGTCCTTGCTTGTTCAATTTCTATAATGCCATCTAGCAGCAATATTTCATGCTCCTTCCTCAATACTGATGGGCTACCTTCAAAACGAATGATGCTCCTTGAAATTCCTAGAAACTCCCAATACACAGCTCACATGTGAGCTCCCGGGGGCTGTGGAAATGAATCACTGGATTTGTCTCTATTGGAGTGTCAGTTGCTGCCTCCTCGCCCCCAAGCTTTATGCAAGTATTTTCCTCACCCAGGGAAAAGGAGATCCCCTCTGATCACACCAGGCTGCAGCATGGCCCAGTCCTTGGCTAACGGAACCCTCGGTCTTCCATCCCCGCCAGACCGTGAAGCAGCACTGGTGTATTGATCTGTGTCTGTGCCACTGTTATGGACATTATCAAGAAAGCAGACAATCTGAGCCAGAATTAAGCTCCTTTCATATTAAATTTAGCTTCTGCAGCACAGCAGCAGCCGCCTGGTGCAGAAAGTCAGTGCCAGCCGGGAAGCGGAGGGTAGTCAGACCCCGCAGGTCAACGAAATCTGCCCAGCACGCTCCATCTCCTATTTTATGCCTCTTCCCCTCCCCGTCAGGCACCGAGGGCATTGCTGCCGAAGCCCAGAACTGCCCCTCGGCCAGCCAGGAGGCAGCACCTCCCCGGCAGAGGCTGGACCGGGGCAGGGGGGGTCACCTCAGCCCCAACATCACGCTCCAAAGCCTTTAAGCAGGGCCAAGCAATGCCACCAACCCACCACAGGCTTAGAAGAGCACGTGCCCTGAACACCCACCTGGAAGCTTAAGTGTTTTAAAGGCAGGGGTGTTACTTTATCTCTCATTATTAGAGGCACCAGCGATGAGCTAGAAATCCACATGAAGCAAGCCAACAGCTTCTGCAGACCCAGTAAGGCCACTAAGGGGCCAATACAAACCACTTCCCATTGAGTTACCTTCCGTAGCATGCTTACAAATAGGGGAAAACAACAGAATTGCTTCCCCCTCGAAGCCCATTGGTACAATAGCACAGCCTTCGCACCAGCTACGGCCGGAGGCGAAGCCCTGTTGGGTTGCGAGCCCCGCGGGTGTAAGACTGGTGGGGCAGAGCATCCCTGCCCCTGATGCAAATACAAATCCAGGTGCCGTCACACAGGAGAGAAGTAGAGAACTGGGAGTAAGCAGGAGTACTGTGGTGGGTGGAAGAAGTTTATTCTATTTACCTTCCCTCGCTTTTCCAACCCTCACTGCTTTTCCCCACAACTGCTTTCAGTGTGTGACAGCCGTTAAAGAAGTAACAGTCATTTCTGCATTTGACAGAGATTGCAGAACACCCTGCTTGCATGCAGTGACTCTGGACCCAAGTGAACTCTCCCAAGTTAATATCGTGGCAAGTTTATGCAGAGTGTTTCACAGCCTTTATCTATCTAAAGCATGTGAGTACTTAAGTTGCCAGATACACACATGCATATTAAAAATGTAATTAATTGAGTCAGAGATGATGAACTCCTGGCACAGGTATCAGGCAGCGTTCCCATGGAGCTGTGGGCTGGCATCCTTAGTGGATTGCACGGCTTTTTATAAGAAGCTTGGCAGAGGTCTTCTCCATAACAGACTAAATTACGGCGAAGAGCTCACCAGTGACTAGATCTGGGTATCCAAATGCTCCCTACCTTCTTGGTCTAAATATATATTTTTTTTAAAGAGAAACTGCATTCCCAGCACAATCTAGTGACCTCAGAAATAGGGTGGAACAATCTCTGGCATGTGCCATGTCCCCACCATGGTCACAAGCAAATCACAGAGGCAATTTCTTGAATGTGCTTGATGGAGATCTCAGCAAACGGCATACCAGCCTCCTCGGGACAAACGCTCACTGGCAGCTTTCTTGCTACGTGTTATTTCTGCACATATTCCATCTGACTCAGAGCCGAACGCAAACCTGAATGCACGGAGCCATGGCACCTTCTCCAGAATTGTTCCAGCCAGTGAACAGCTGGCACCATCTCTGCACATCGTCTCCAGCCTCCTTCGCCTACACCGAGGGAACGCAAACATCGCAAAGAGGAGCTGCTTGGCACAGAAAAGTTCCCTAAAAAAAGTTATACACAGCAACGTGCCCCACTAATCCATCCTCTCTCCAGAACGTTTTGCTGTGTCTGAGCATGCAGGAATAAGTACGGCCATACAGCTCGCTGCTTAGGGTCTATATTACACAATAAGACGTTTTATACCCCATGCTGTATCATGGATGGGCTCAAAGCAGAGTCTCAGATTTAGGTGCATTGAACTTCAAAGAACCAGAACAACTTCTGCAGATAGTCACTTTTTTAAAGTGAATTTTCAAACCTGCATGTGTGAAGAAAACAAGATGACTTGCACTCGCAGGACAGTTGCCTTTCCAAGCTTTCCATGATGCACACCAACAGTATTAAATGTCCAAGAGCCACAGATGACATGCCTCAAAAGCTAATAGAAAGGAGCATTTCATAAGAATTTATAAGAATTCTTGCATAATGTTGCAGTGAGGGTGGTCCAGCACTGAGATGGGGGGCCAGAGAGGCTGTGGCATCTCCAGCCTTGCAAATTTTCACAACCTGATTGCGTGAACATAATCTGGTTTGGTAGGGAGCCCTGCTTTGAGCAGAGAAATTGGGCCAGAGACCTCCAGAAGTCCCTTGCAACCTCCATTACGCTACAGCAGTACCATATCCAACAGAAGGTTTGCAAGGACAAGCCATCCTAGATTGCAGATTGCCAAATGTTTTAGGGCTAACCGCTGATTTGTCAGTGACAGGCTACAGAATAACCCATCCACAGCTGTACGTGTACTCAAACCAGCTAATGAAGCCATATCCATCAATGTGACAGCTGTTGGAATAGCTGTCAGATCTGAACTCTGTAGAAGGAGGTTTTCAGGTGAAAGGCACCCCTGGGTTGGAGGGGTGACCCCCTTTACTGCCACGCTTGAACACCTCTGATCGAGGACTGGGTGTTTTGGTGCACTGATGGCTGACGGTGCCCTTGCACCCAGCGCACCCCACCAGAAGGGTCTGCCCCGCAGCCAGGACACGAGGCTGCACCGCAGTGCTGTATGCCGGTCCCTGATGGCTCAGCCCATCAGTATCACCCGTGTCTCGCAGGAATCGGTTCAGCCGGGGACAGCAGGTAATTCCCAGGGGAAGCACCTCTGCCTTTTGTCTAGAGAGACCAAGAGCAGCACAGAGCTCTTCCTCCTCAGGGCACCCACCGTTCAGGTACCACTGCAAGGAGGAATATTTAACTGCTCACTGTGCTGTTGTTCTGGGTTTGGTTTCGTAACATCTAATAAATACTTTATTGCTCCTCAGCACCAGGTGATTTAGGAAGAAGCTAAACCAATTGAATGAGCATCCCTCATCATCACTGCTTCCACAGTCAGAAAACCAGCCACGATGTGAACAACATGGAAGGGAGGGAAGAAGGTGCGGGAGGCCAGAGCAGCTGAGCGCTGGCCCCGGGGGAGAGGCCAGAAGCCCCAGCAATGGGCATGAGACTAGAAAAAATCCATCAGGTTATTTTGCACTGGGAAAACGCATCAGGTTCTCCCTGCACCGATGCCGCTTTCCCCCTGACGAGAGAGAGGACCACACGGGGGGTGACTCACATCCCCAGCGTTTGGGGTTTTACTTGCAAACTCTCCTGGGCAGACGGGGCTGCTTTGCAAAGAGCTGAACGTCACTGGCTTTTCGCTGTTAATGTAACCGACCAGCATTAACTGCCAGTCTTGGGGAACTTTTCCCAGCTGCCTAACAGTGTATTTCCTAGTTGTTTCAGAGAAGTTGAATATTTGTTACCAGAGAGAGCTCCTTGTGCTTTGCTTTCTGATAGCCACAATCCATCTTTCCAGGGATACCGGTCTGGCACGTCCTTTTCCCTTACAGTCTGACCGTACACGGATCACTGTGCACACACCCACTGATCTACTGCTGTCTATACAATTCCCTCTTTGTGGGCACTTCGATTTGTTGCCTCTCCACGCTGTCCATGATTTACAGGCCCTGGTGCATCCACACTACCCACCCTTTCTCCAGCCACACTCCTCCTTTGTGGATGGCAAATAAGGAAAGCACTGGTCACGTCCCTGGCCACCAACCTGGTGCCACCTTTTCCTCTCTCAGAAGAGGTGCCCAGTTGATTTGCTGCAGAGAAAATGACCATGCCATCACCACGCCTGGGTTCGCACGCACAAAGCGGCGAAGGGCACGCACTGACCCCTCTGCCTGCAGCAGCTCGTGCCCTGCCTGCTCAGCCCACTCGATATGTTGGGGATGGGTCAGAGTGATGGGGACCCTCCAAAAGCAACAGTCCTACGTACCCACCTGCGCCATGCTGGGTTTGGGGACAAGCAACGCAAACAGCCCCTGGGTCCTTCCACGCCAGCCCAGCACTGATTTGCAGCTCAGAGACTGAACCAACCTCTCACTCGAGCAGTCCACCAATACAAGAACAATATTTCCTGACCTAACGGTAAATGTCTGCTTCAGCAACGTGACTGAAGGGGTTAGAAAACCCACCAGAGCTGCCCGCAGAGGAAGGAAGCCCCCTCCTCTGCCCAGCCAGAGCTACCACCAGCCAGTGCCCTACCACAGCATCAGCTCCGATCCTTGCCAGGACCTCTTGCTACCTCTGTTATTACCAGCAAACTCCAGCAGCTTTGCAGCATGCGCAGCACGTGCTAAATGATTTTGGCACTTGGTAGAACATTTCTTCTTTAAAGAGGCTCAAGTATTGCTGGATAAGTAACAGGAAGGTAAATCATCAACCCCTTTGGTTAGGCCAGTTGCAGGCACAGAGCCTCTAGATGAAGCAGAGCAGATCTCTCCTTTCCACTGCCCCAGACTACATCCAGTAGCAGGTTTGTCAGAAGAGACAAAGCGCAGGCTCTGAGTCGCTCTCTTTGAAACACGTGGATGCTCTTTTTTGTCCTCTCAAACCCTGAGTGCATTTCTTTTCTATGATTCACTCTGCCAGCTAGGCACACTTCTTCGACATACATGAAAGACCTAAAATGTTATTATGGCTGCTCCTACTTTCTGAAACACAGTGATGCACCATGCTAAAAGAAGAAAGCAAAGCCAGAAGCTGGGACTGGGCCTTTGCCATGAGGACCTTCTCCCTGGTACAGTCCAAGCTACACCTTCCTTCTGCAACCTACCATCACAGGGCAAGCCTAGGTGTGGAAACATCAAAAGATACCTTGCCACTGCCTGCTTCACTTGCTAAATCCGTCTGTACCAGGTGTGTCCATCCAACACTCACATGCCAACCCTGCATCTCCCCCCTGCAAAGGGTCCCCTTTTCAATTGAGATCAACCACACTTATTGGAAAAAGCACCTCTGACAGGTTCAGGAACTTCTGCTCCTGTCTGCAAATTGCTTTCTCCTGCTGTCTGTCTCTTCTCCTGGCTGGTCCTTCCTCTGCAGCTGGTGTGCAAGTGAATAACCCCAAGATGGAGCCACCTGACAAGAGCACAGATAACTTGGAACTTCTCCCAACTTTGATCTTATTTTACCTAAGCAAGCCATTAGCAGAGTGAGTTTGCAATAGATCCAACAGACTAAGCTAGCCCTGCTGGGTATTTTTCTGTGTATGATCAAACAGATACGTGCCCCTGTTTTTTTACTGACTAATAAAAATATGACTTTGATCTCAGAAAAATGGAGAAGCCAGCACAAAATACAAGCAAGAAATAGCAATGATGAAATACTAGGCCAGGGATTGAGCATGGGCTGAGGGGCAATTGCTGCTCTAAGTAACCTCCCTGGTGACTTCTGCTGTGATGGCAGCCTCGCCTGGTAAGCTCTGCTGTGTAGAACGCATCATTGTGATCTGGCAGCTTTCAGCAGAAAGCCCAGCGTCATCCTGCCTGTGGTAAAAGTGTAGCTGCTCTGTTAATAAAACAGAAAAAACAAACCCATAAAAATACTAGCAGAAATACAGCTAGCAAATAAAACCAGGAGGCAAATAGAACGGAGGCTGTCTAGGATGGACAGAGTGACATGCACAGCCCCCCAACACCGGGTGCCCCAAAGGCAGGAGACAAATCCCTTTATTGCCCTGAGGTCTGCTCCAGGCTGGACTCTGCAGCTGGCTTCTCTCCTCCTCCTCACTCCAGCCCAAACACCTTCTTTGCTCCCTCCCAGTCACTCTCTGCTTTACCCCAAGTCTCAAAGGCTGCTTCCACAACCACTTACACAGCCTCCTCTGGAAAATCCTGCTAGCAAGGGCCTGGGTCAGAGGTGCAGGTCAAGTCATGTTTGCTTTGACCGGCACAGGAGCTCTCTGCAAACGCAACAGAAATGGCTCAGCCTGCTCTTTTCTTCCAACAGTGCAGTACGTGTGGTAGGTACAGTCCATTGCTGCTCTGAGACCTCCAAAAAAACCCAAAACCTTAGCCCAGGAAAAAGGATCAAGATAAGGTCTTTCTTCTCCTCTTGAGCCTTAAAGGCAGTCTTGAACAGTAACATTTTCACTCCTCTTTTTCCTTCGGTTGGCAAACAACACATGGGCGCTTGAAGCTTGTGAGTGTTGATGCGACACAGCTTCTGAGACATTACCTCGCATACTTTCATGCTTCAAGACCATGGTGTGCTGCACAGTGGAAGGGCATGGTGTGGAGCTGGAGAATGTCACAGGTCATCTCCCATGGCTCACGCATGCTGTGTCCCTTGGAAAAGTCAGGGACAGGCTGGGCTATGAACCTACTAGAATTTGTACTTCTTCCAGTATATTCTGAGGACAACTTCCAGAACTCAGATGTTTTACAGCCTTACTGACAAGGCAAGTAAAAAAGTCAGTTTGGGGTATGGATGCTGCACATCTATTGCCTAGTGGCCACAAAGCTCCAAGCCTCCTGCTCTATCACTGAGACAGGCACGTAAAATCTCTCAGTTCAATCACCTGCAATAGATAGCTGTTACAGTGTTTATTTAATAACAAAAAATTTTGCGCAAAATCTCTGTCCTGGTTGAACCATGACAATCTCCTACAAGCACTACAAAGGTACATTCACAAATGATGCCCAGGTGCCCAAAAAAAAGAATTGCATAAAAGTGAATGGTTTTACTCAGCTGATCAATGTGGCCAGAGCCCCTTTGACCATGGACACCCTGCCAGCCGCTCCTGAGGAGTAACTATCAGTGCAGAACCTCTTCCCACCAACCTGGTCAATGTTACTGTACTGTCCAAGTACTCTTGAAGATCAGTAACCCATATTGCTGCCAATATCACCCAAGCATCTCCATTCTTGGACTACTTTAGGGGCTAGGCAAGGCTTGGTATATCCTGCGTTTGGAGATCACAGCCTAAAGACAGCTAAATATCCATGAACTAACTGACTCCAAAAAGTAGGTGAGGGATAGGGTGGGAACATGAGCTGGTGCATGCTGGTGGGTCCCCCATAGAGGAGGGCAGTGTCCCAGTATCCAGGCAAGTCCTCGCTCTCCAACAGCCCAGTTGTCTGCTTCTTTTGTGCCACATCTCCCGTTTGTGAAAGGAGAATAACAGCACTTCACTTCTCTCCAGAAGTGGCTACATGCATGAAAAGACTGAGAGCCTCTCACAGACTAGGATGGTGGGCTGTCCAAGAAGAAAAGCAAGCTACTTTTAGAAAGGCACTTTTAAATCACTATTTGAACTATGTTCATCTTTGTGTTCCCACTCCAGGCAGACCTTACATACTGCAGAAGCTAATCGTCCTTCCTGGTTAATGTATACAGTGGCTCATGCTGACTTGAAAACATTAAACAACCAGAACTAAGGATCTCCTACTGACACTTCAGATCTCCAAACAAAAAAAAAAACCACCAGCCTGTCCCTTTTTTTTTTTTTTTGTTAAAAATAAAAAAAAGTACATTGACTATCACCGGAGTTAATTTTGTACCATTTTCATCATTAAGCTCTTAACTTTCCTCCATGTCACAAGCTATTTTAAAAACAGTTCTTACTGAGCAGAAGCAACGGACAAAGGAATGGAGACTCAAGGACTCCTGGTGTGTCCCAGCCTCTGTGAGAGTGCTGTTTGCAGCCCAGCAAAGTAAGCAGGGGAGGGAATATGTTAGATGGGTCTGAACAAGATACAAGAAATGGAGAGAAGCTTCCAGGCAGAAAAGGCTGAAATGCTCAGCCCTGCCGTGGGCATCCTGCACGCACCCGCCGCCCCTCGCTGAGAGCTGGGGGAACCACCAACCCCCCCAAAACAGAGGGCTGCTGTCTAGATCAACTTGAAATTGGGCTGGTGGGGTGGCAAGGGAAGCAGACGCAGGTCTGAGCAATATTTCTTTTCCAAAGAAAGCACATTTTCAAAGCAGCCCATCAAGAGACCTGACCTATTACACGCCAGGGCTCTAAGGACAACTTGTCATGTTTGAAGTTTTCCCTTATTCTATGCATGTGCTATGATTTCCAGGAAACAAACAAAAAGAAAGAAAACACCCCAGATTTTAAAGAAAATCTGTTTAAGAGCCAAACACATCTCTGATCCAGTAAAAGATAAGCTGTCTCCTTCAGACAGCACTTGAAAAAGGTTCAATCAATCAGTCAAGCCAGAACAGAACTTGTTTCTAGATGGAAAAACAAGAGAGAAAAGGTGTGAAACTGTAGTGCACCTCCTCCTCCTCCTCACATTTCCTGCTAAAGTGAGTAATCTCAGATTTTACAAGGGCATGTTGTTTGGAAGAAAAAGTTTGGTAAAAGGTAGTTTGTTCTGAGGCAGCAAACTACTGCAAGAAAACACAGCATTTCAACTTTCCATCGCCACTGCTGGGCAGAGACATAGGAATATGCCTTTGCATAGTGGCTGGTACGTACCCAAAATAGCTGAGAATGAACGTCTGCTCCTTCAGAGACATTAGGGAACATTATTTGCAATAACATTGTTCCACTGGGGTGATTATTAATATTTATTTTAAGGTAAGGCACCGTTAAAATTATCCAATTTTCTTCCACAGCCCTAGTCTTTGGTCCCAGTTTACGTCAGGAAGCTGAAAATGAAAGGGGCGAATCTTGCAAACTATCTGAGGCATCACAGAGATGGCGTGAGAGTCTGATGGGGACATACCCCCCCAAGGCTAGTTTAACTAAAGCAAGTGCTCAGATTTCCAGGCTCGGAGCACATTCACTTGGCAGGGGAGGCTGGAGGAAGCAGTAGCCTTTTCTCAGCTTTGGGCTGTAAATATAAATGAAACGTAGCTGAGGAAATCACGTTCACTACAGCGCACACGCAGCATGCATGCAGCATGTGCAGGTCCCGTGCTGGCATCTGCAAAGAGGACAATTAGCTGCTTGCGTGAAATTAGGCGTGGAGTTCGAGAATGGTTTTTAAGGTAA